AAGTTGTGGCCACAGCAATCAGGCAAGAGAAGGAAATAAAGTGTATTCACATAAAAAGAGAGGAAATTAAACTATGTTTTCTGCAGACGACATGATCCTATATCTAGAAAACCCCACTGTCTCAGCCCAAAAGCTTCTTATGCTGACAAGCAACTTCAGCAGTATCTCAGGATACAAAATCAACGAAAAAAAAAAAACAAAACACCTCTAACATTCCTATGTACCAAAAACAAGCCAGTTGAGATCCAAATCAAGAATGAACTCCCATTCATAATTGCCACAAAAGGAATACAATACCTAGGAATACCGCTAACAAGGGAAGTGAAGGATCTCTTCAAGAACTAAAAGCCATGGCTCAAATAAATCAGAGATGACACAAACAAATGGAAATACATTTCATGCCCATACATAGGAAGAATCAATATCATGAAAATGGCCACACTACCCAAAGAAATTTATAGATTCAATGCTATTCCCATTAAACTACCATTGACATTCTTCACAGAACTAGAAAGAAACTATTTTAAAATTCATATGGAACCAAAAAATAGTCCAAATAGCCAAGGCAATTCTAAGCAAAAAGAATAAAGCTGGAGGCATCATGCTACCTGACTTGAAACGATACTACAGGGCTACAGTAACCAAAACAGTCTGGTACTGGTACAAGAACAGATAGATAGACCAATGGAACAGAATAGAAAACCCATAAATAAGTCTGTACATCTACAGCCACCTGGTCTTCAACAAACCTGACAAAAACAGCAATGGGAAAAGAATGTCCTATTTAATAAATGGTGTTGGGAGAACTGGCTAGCCATATGCAGAAAATTGAAACTGGATCCCTTTCTTACACCATATACAAAAATCAACTCAAAATGGTTTAAAGACTTAAATGTAAAACCAAAAACCATAAAAACCCTAAAAGAAAACCAAGGCAATATCATTCAGGACATAGGCATGGGCAAAGATTTCATGACAAAGATGCAAAAAGCCATTTCAAGAAAAAAATTTAAAAATGGGATCTAATTAAACTAAAGAGCTTCTGCACAGAAAAAGAAACTGTCAACACAGTAAACAGATAACCTACAAAATGAAAAAAATTGCAATCTATACATCTGACAAAGGTCTAATATCCAGCACCTATAAAAACTTTGAACAAATTTACAAGAAAACAAACATTCCCCCTTAAAAGTGGGCAAAGGATATTAACAGACACTTCTCAAAAGAAGACATACATGTGGCCAAACAACATATGAAAAAAAGCTCAACATCACTGATCATTAGAAAAATGCAGGCCAAATGCAGTGGCTCACACCTGTAATCTCAGCACTTTGGGAGGCTGAGGTGGGTGGATCACTTGAGGTGAAGAGTTCAACACCAGCATGGCCAACATGGTGAAACCCCATTTCTACTAAAAATACAAAAAATTAGCCAGGCATGGTGGTGGTGGTTGTAATCCCAGCTACTCAGAAAGCTAAGGCAGAAGAATCACTTAAACCTGGGCGGTGGAGGTTGCAGTAAACCAATATCATGCCACTGCACTCCAGCCTTGGCAACAGAGTAAGTCTCTGTCTCAAAAATAAATAAATAAATATAAATTCAAATCAAAACTAAAATGAGATATCATCTCACACGAGTCAGAATGGTTATAACAAAAAAGTCACAAAACAACAGACGCTGGTAAGGTTGTGGAAAAAAAGGAATGCTCTTACACCATGGGTGAGAGTGTAAATTAGTTCAACCATTGTGGAAGACAGTGTGACGATTCCTCAGAGACCTAGAGGAAGAAATACCATTTGACCCAGAAATCCCATAACTGGGTATATACCTAAAGGATTATAAATTGTTTCATTATAAAGGCACATACATGCGTATGCTCATTGCAGCACTATTCATAATAGCAAAGACATGGGATGAATCTAAATGCCCATCAATGACAGGCCAGATAAAGAAAATGTGATATATAAACACCATGAAATTCTATGCATCCATAAAAAGGAACGAGATCATGTCCTTTGCAGTGACATGGATAGATCTAGAGGCCATTATTTTTAGCAAATTAACGCAGGAACCAAAAACCAAATACTGCATATTCTCACTTATAGGTGGGAACTAAGTAAAGAGAACACATGTACACACAGGGGGAACAACACACACTGGGGCCTGAGTATGGAACCTGAGAGGAGGTAGAGGATTAGGAAGAACAGCTAGCACATGCTGGGCTTAATACCTGGGTGACTGGATGATCTGTGCAGCCAACCACCATGGCACACGTTTACCCATGTAACAAACCCACACATCCTGCACATGTACTCCTGGACTTAAGAGTTGGAAATACAGTGAAAAAAATAGATTTTTATGGATTAAAGGAATATAATTGATGGTATATTAATAAATACATTAATTTGTGGTAAAATTGATTTTGTCAAAGATGCCAAGAAATTTTAATAGCAGAAGTTTCTTCAACAAATGATGCTGAGAAATCAGTTGTCAACACACAAACAAGTAAAGCTGAACCCCTAACTCAAACCACACAAAAGAAAATATTAAAAATTGATTATCTCTTAATTATAAAAGTTAAAATTATCATATTCACTGGACAAAAATTAGAGTAAATTTTTATAATGTTGGGTTAGGAAAAAATATCTTAGATATTACACAAAATTACACAAAAGCAAAATCCAGAATAAGAAAAACCTAGGCCAGGATCAATGGCTTATGCCTGTAATCCTAGCTCTTGGAGAGGCTGAGGTGGGAGAATTACCTGATCCCAGGAGTTCGAGACCAGCCTGGGCAACATAGTGAGACTTCATGTCTGTGAAAAATTAAGGAAAAAAAAAATAAAGCTGGGCATTGGGGCACAGGCCTGTAGTCCCAGCTCCTCAGGAGAGGAGATTGAGGCTGCAGTGAGCCACAATTGTGCCACTGCACTCCAGACTGGGTGCAGAGACCCTGTCTCAAAACGAGAGAAAAATAAAGAATATTACTTCATGAAAGAGAAAAACATTTGCTTTTTGAACAGAAGCATAATGAATACAAAAGACAAACTACCTAATGGCAAAACATATTTTAAGTTTTAAAACTGATTTGGGTCTAGGAATAAATATATTAAGAGAATTCTTATGATTTAATAATAATACAATAATTTACCAATGCAACGCGAATAAAGCGTTTGAATAGACAAATTCTAAGTGGCATGTAAAATGTTTCAATATTATTACTCGTTAGGAAATGCTACTAAAACCACAATAATATCACCACATTCCCCAGAATGGCAACACCAAATGCAGGCCTTCAGAGGCACCCAATGTGTTTCCAGAAGGGTGGATATGCATTATGCGTTTTTATTTAACTTTCATTGCCCTAAACACAGGGTGATGCACATAATTTTACATCAGTAACGCTTTCTTGGTAAATGAATGAATATCTGGAAGGTCCTGGTTTGATTCCCCCAAAGTTGGGCTCTTTTTCCACACTGCCAGCCAGAGTCTCATCTGGTCAGAGTGAAATTGCTTGTGATTGTCACTGCAACCGACCAAGAGTTTTTCTTATACTGAGATCCCTGGTTCCTTTCTGGAGAATTCCTTCTCTTGGCCAGGATCCCTGTTCAGAATGCTAATAAATGATTCTTGTCTAGACGGATCATTCTGCCTAATTTACAAAGAAACACCCAGCCTAGAAAACACTTTCATTTTTATTCTTTGAATCTGGATTATAATAAAGTGAAATACTGTTAGACAACCGGAATTAGTTTCAGCTGACAAAAAAAGTGTAGTAACTTACACAATGAACGAAAAGCGATAAAAATGGAAAATGTTTAGGAATGATTTGCAGGCTCCAGTATCTCTGTCTTTCCCAGGAGGCCCTGCTGGCTTGGGCCTTGTATAGCAAAACAGTGATTACACTATCCAGATGCTTTCTTGGCTCTAATTTATAGCACTTTTAAAATTTTTATTTTTTTCTCTGCTTCCTTTCTTCCTGTCTTTCATTTTTTAAATTCTTACTTTTTGTTTCTTTTTTTCTCCCTTTCTTTTGTCCTTCCTTTCTTACTTCTTTTAACATGTATATACAAATAAAAGCAAGGTTAAAACATATATGATGTTTTATTTTAATAAAAAGACACAATGCCAAAAATTAGGAAGTAAAAAACTATTCAATAAAGCAAATTAAAATAACCTACAATTCCACCACTGAGAATTTACCTTCCTTAACACACATAGAGTTTTGGTTAGTGTTTGGTACAAATTAGCTATGATTAATAAAATTTTACACGCTGAATTACATTAATACATGCTTTAACGCAAATGTATTTTCATTACATAAGTTTTTCAAGCAATAAATGATTACTTATTTAAATTTTTAAAAATGTGTTACAATGAAATACTATTCAGCAATAAAAGAGAAAAAATCTTGTCATTTGAAACAATATGGATAAATTTGGAGGACATTATGCTAAGTGAAATAAGCCAGACAGCAAATGCTGGTTACTGGATGCTTGGTTATTTAGGAAAAAAGAGGCATTTGGAGAGATGTCCGTAAAATAATACATAAGTACAGTTGACTAGGAGAAGTTCAGAAAATTTATTGTACAACATGGTGACTACAGTCACCATGTACAGTATATACTTTATAATAAATATAGAATATAGACTATTCTGCATAACAAAATAAGTTTTGCTATGTCATAGAAAATTAATGTAAAATATTTCACATATCACTAAGTCGCCAAGAAATTTCTTTCTTTTGAGATTGAGTCTCGGTCTGTCACCCAGGCTGGAGTGCAGTGTTGCCATCTCAGTTCACTGCAACCTCCACCTCCCAGGTTCAAGCAATTCTCCGGCCTCAGCCTTCCAAGTAGCTGGGATTACAGGCACCTGCCATCGCAACTGGCTAATTTTTGTATTTTTAGTAGAAACGGGGTTTCTCCATGTTAGTCAGGCTGGTCTTGCACTCCTGACCTCAGGTGATCCATCTGCCTCAGCCTCCCAAAGTGCTGGGATTACAGGCGTGAGCCACTTTGCCCGGCCTAGAAATTTATTTCTAAGACATATTTTCTTCTAAGAGATTTCAAAATTTGGATGAGTTTCTTCATATGGTAGTTATAATATGCAATCCACCCATATTAATGCTTTACCTATTCTAGCTTATGTTTCATTTAACACACTTTGTTTAGAATCTCATAAAATTTTTCTTTTACAGAGAAAAACAATGCTGACTGACTGAATCCTTTTACATGTGAACAGTAAATGACTCTTAAGTAATATAAATGTTGCATTGATAAACTATACAAACACCCCACTTAAAAACAGTAATTTACCACATTAAAAAAAATCCAAACTTTTCATGAGAACCTAGAAAATCCATGTGAAATTACATGGCATGAAGAGAAGAGTGAAAAAACTGTAGCCATAACACAAATCAGGAGAAGGGCTGTGAGGTACACACAGCTGAGGATGAACACATAAAGACATCAAAAAAAAACCTGAAGATAATTAGAATATAAACACCGAAATCTTATTTAAATTCAGAATGAGTCACTTTTACAGCCTGGGAACAAATGTCCTCTTAACATGCAGAATTAATACCATTTCTTCACCACAGATATTTTCAATCTCTTACTTGGACCTACAAATAAACTTCAGAAAAATATTTGTACCTAATTATGGAGCATCTATTACACACCCTTCACTTTCTTATGTTTGTTCACTGCAATTATGTATCAAAACATCCTCATAACTTTTAAAGTGTTCCCAGTACTTACTTGAATTGGCCCAATAAACTCAATTATGTAAATTATAAAAAGTGAAAGGAACAATAACTAAACAGCTTATATATGGTTCCCCAATTAAACAAAATGTTCTAACTAAATATTACTTAATACACACATTGTGAACATCTTAAATTTATTTTGTGTGCTCTACTAAATTTTATAAAAATCATTCTTACAATTTCTGACCAGCTCACACAATACTTAATGAAGTTAAAACAAAAAACTATGAGAAACAAGTGAATTGTATCACTAGCATGAGTACCAGACAAAACAGGTAATTTGCACAAGGAGATTCTCAACAATGATCCATTAGATTTTACAGTAATTAATTAAATACAAAGAAGATAGTATAGATTTGTTTCCAGAATATTTTAGGTTTTTATGTTTCTAATCAGTTATACATATTATTAAAAGAATATTTTTTGTCCCAACGTTGCTATTTTCTTTGGAAAATAGGTACAAATTTCCAAACACAATTGCTTGTTCTATAATTTTTTATACCTAAGGTTTATCTTAGAGCAATACATTTATATATTTATCTCCATGTAAATCAAAACTAAAAGTCTGTATGTGTTTGCCAGAAGAGAAGCCACATGTCCACAGAAAAATATGGAACATTTAAAAAAATATGTATTCAGGACACAGAAATGTCTACATTATATTCTGATATAATACTGAATACAACCATAAAATTACTTGTAATAAAAAATAATTTAATTGTACATTTAAAAATAAAGTGTATAATTGGATTGTTTGTAATACAAAGGATAAATGCTTGAGGTGATGAATAACTCATTTACACTGATGTGATTACATGTTGTATGCCTGTATCAAAGTAACCCATATATGCCATGAATATATACACATACCATGTACCCACATAAATTTTTAAAAATAAATTTAAATAAGAAAAATAATAAAAATTTAACATGAGAACAATATTATTCAATTTATTTGCTGTTTAAAGCCACTGGAAAAAGAGATTGCTAGAAATGTCATTAAACTATGTTACTAAAAGTATACTGTTACCATTTTTTACCTATACCCTTGAGTAAGGTGGGATAGGTGAAAGTTGTGGCATAATAACACTTCATTCCAGACACAGTAATTTCAACACATTAGCAATTTTGTTGAATTAAAAAATTAAGTTCACACACAATCTTAAAAGATAATTTTAAAATTTACTGTATTTTATTACCTAAATGTACAATTGGTAAAACAATTTATTACTAAAATTCAGATTGTTTTTCTCTCACTATAATGCAGAAGAATATTACTTTGAACATGTACCTCACGAATCACGCAATGATATAAGTCAACCACAAAGATGCAAACATCATCTCATGCATCTTTCAATGTCCTTACTCATTCATGGAAAAGTTCATGAATGATGCCTACCTAAAAAGAATCACTCATACCTCTGATGCAACAACTCATCACACGCTTTCATATAAACAATAAGTTGAATCAGTATGAATAAATTTTAGAGTTGAATTTGCTTTTCAAAAAATCTATAACTTTTTCAAGTAAAAAAGTATAATTTCAATGGAATAACTTCAAAAATCTACTCCTTTTCAACTTATATACAAAGAAATTATCTAACAGTTTCGGCTTTGGAATTTTTTTATACTTAACACTCTGATTTACTGTAATGTTTCAAGTGTTAATGCCTTCTTCTTTCTACTGTAAATATTCTGACGTTTAGTCTTAATTTTAGACTGAATATCTTTTCATATTTAACGCATCTACAAAATATCTTCTAGTATAAACCCTCTGGTACTTTTTAAGCTACAGTTTTTGAACAAATGCTTTTCCAAATTTATTATATTTGTAAAATTTCTTTCCAATATAAATTCTCCAATGTTGAAGAAATTTTGGGCAAGTGCTTCAGGGTTTTCTTCTAGTACGAAATATGCACAATAAGACCCATGATGCAAGTATAGGTACAACAACCATCTTGCTATTTGTATTGTCCGTCTTCAGAATACTCTTCTTCACTTTTAAGACCTGTATTTTCTAATAGGTCTTTCAACAAACATTACATTTATAATGCTTTTATTAAGTACAGACTCTCTGATATTTAGTAACACTTGAGTAGGCATTAGTGGCTCTTCTACATTTTCCATATTTGTACTATTTTTCTCAAGCATAAATGCTATCATGTGCTAAGAGATATGAGCATTGGTTAAAAGTTTTGCCAACACTTTTAATATTCCTAGGGGTTTTCTTCTGTAGGAATTATAAATAGTAAGATGTGACAAGCATTTGAAGGCTTTTCTACACTTTTCATATTTTTATGGCTTCTCACCAATACCATTTCTCTTATGTTTAGAACAGATTGAGTTGTGGTTAAAAGCTTTGCCAAATTTTTCACATATGTAGACTTTCTCTCCAGTATGAATTATGATTATAAAAGATTGAGGAAGACTTAAAAGCTCCCACATGCTTTACATTTCTAAAATTTTCCTCCAGTATGAGTTCTCTTATGTTGAGGAAGGTTGGAATACTGCTTAAAAGTACTCCCACATTCTTTACATTTGTAGGGTTTATCTACAGTGCGAATTTTCTTATGTTTATTCAGGTGTGAGGACTATTTAAAGGCTTTGCCACATTGTGTACATACGTAGGGTTTCTCTCCAGTATGAATTTTTTTATTATTACGCAGGTTTGCAAACACTTTAAAGGCTTTGCCACAATCTTCACATTTGTAGGGATTTTTTCCAGAGTGAATTCTCTTGTGTACATTACGGGTTGAGGACCAATTAAAGGCTTTACCACATTCTCCACGTGTAGGGTTTCTCTCCAGTATGGATTCTCTTATGTGTCGTAAGGGTTGTGGACCTATTAAAGGATTTGCCACATTCTTCACATTTGTGGGGTTTCTCTCCTGTATGAATTCTCTTATGTTTAGCAAAGTCTGAGGATGTAGTAAAGACATTGCCACATTCTTCGCATGAGAAGGATTTCTCTCCAGCATGAATTCTCTTATGTTCATTAAGGGATGAGGACCACTTAAAGGCTTTACCACATTCTTCACATTTGTAACATTTTTGTCCAGAATGAATTCTCTTATGTAAATTAAGGGTTGAGGATTGGTTAAAAGCTTTACCACATTCTTCACATATGTATGGTTTCTCTCCAGTATGAATTCTCTTGTGTTTAGTAAGGTGTAAGGACCGAGTAAAGCCTTTACCACATTCCTCACACTTGTAGGGTTTCTCTCTGGAATGAATTCTCTTATGTTTAGTAAGAATTGAGGACCGATTAAAGGCTTTGCCACATTCTTCATATGTGTGGGAGTTCTCTCCAGTATGAATTCTTTTGTGTTGAGTTAGGCGTCAGAGCACATGAAATGATTTGCCACATTCTTCACATTTAAAGGTTTTCTCTCCAGTTTATCTTATGTTTGTTTGAATTTGAAAATTTATGAAAAACTTCAACACATATATTACATTGAATTATTTTGCTCCGGGTAGTTAATAAGCATTGGTTAATTCCATTTTATAACCACCTTTCTGCACCTTACACTCATTCACACTTCTACAAGTTTTTCTTAATTTTAAATTCTCATGTCCACGTTTCTCATGTCCTTTTTGTATAAGTTTGTGGAATGAATCTTCTATGCCCTGCACTGTCCAAAGGTCTTGGGTGAAATGAGAACACACAGCTGAAAGAAATAAAAATAACAAATTATCCCACTTACTAGATTCGTGTAAATATACTATAAAGGCCAAGCGTGGTGACTCATGCCTGTAATTCCAGAAGTTTCCAAGGCCGAGGTGGACAAATAACAAGGTCAGGAGTTCCAGACCAGCCTGGCCAACATGGTGAAACCCCATCTGTATTAAAAATACAAAAAAAAAAAAAAATGTGCTGGGAATGATGGTGCATGCCTATAATCCCAGCTACTTGGGAGGCTGAGGCAGGAGAATCCCTTGAACCTGGGAGGTAGAGGTTTCCATCAGCCGAGATCACATCACTGCACTCCAGGCAAGGTGACAGTGCGAGACCCCGTCTCAATACATAAATAAACAAGTAAGTAAATAAATATACTTTACAAATCTAATATATAAAATTACAAATCTAATATATAAAATTATACAAAGTACATCAGTAAGATGCTCAGTAAATACCACAGGACATAATTTCTTTACAGACATACATAACAAAAATACACTGACGAAAACGCCTTTGTGTGAAATCTATAAATGAGTTAACTGTGTGCAATGCCTCAGGTAAGCACAATGCCAAAAGCCACATAAAACACGAAGAAAAAGTGTGTTACATTTACTCACTGCAGCTCTTCCTCCCCACAAATACAGCATTGTGCCCTTAGGAGTAAACTGCCAACACCTGGCTTAATAGAGGAAAAACAGTGACATACATAGTCCTTCTTCTGGCTTTTGGAAATTATTACAAAAACTGGTTTCTGTCTCCAATACTACAGGGTGCTGAAAGAAATGGTGGTGAGTCTGCTGAGATCAAAGGTAAATGTTTCATGAGCAGACAGCAGTGCTAAACACAGGGAACAGGTAGAGCAAATGATTGGAGACCATAAGAAGAAACATGAGTGAACTCTTTTAACTGAAGAATAAACACAGAATTCTAGACAAGACACATCCTTACAACAGTATGGGAGGCTTCCATAATCTCTATCAAAGACAACTGGTTTCAGACTATGTCACGACAAGGCAACATTGTAAAGACTGTGACAAATAGCTTTTAGTTAATGTTCAAATAACAATGTTACAATGTAGGCAAAAAGGGCAACATGGCCCAATTTAAAAATTTGAAAATTTTCAGAAAACAACTATAAATAATGAAGATATTCAAATTTTAAAATTTTAACCTGAATAATGCTCAATGAGTGAAACAGAAACACACACAATTTATAAAATCGGAAAAATAAGAGTATCAATGAAAACATTAAAAATATAAAAAACAAAAGTCATGAAGGTGAAAAATACAATAATGACTGAGACATTTTCAAAAGTAAAAAAAAGGATGTAAAAACTGAAGATGCTCCACAAACTTATTAACTAGGATACACACAGAGATTTATGACAAGACACATATAAGCAAAGTTTCAAAAATCAAAGACAAGAAGAGAATCTTAGGAGTTATAAAAGTGATGTGTCATTTATAAGTGTAGTCTTACAAGATAAACAGTGAATCTGTCAAAAAAAAATTTCAGATGTCAGGGAATTTGTAATATAAAGTGCTGAAAAAAAAAAAAAAAGCTTCGGCCAGGCATGGTGGCTCACACTTGTAATCTCAGCACTTTGGGAGGCCGAGGCAGGCAGATCGCGAGACCATCCTGGCCAACATGGTGAAACCCCATTCTACTAAATATACCAAAAAAAAAAAAAAGCCGGGTGTGGTGGCATGTGCCTGTAGTCCCAGCTACTTGGGAGGCTGAGGCAGCAGAATCACTTGAACCCGGGAGGCAGAGGTTGCAGTGAGCTGAGATTGTGCCCCTGGGCGACAAAGCAAGACTCCATCTTGAAAAAAAAAAAAGAAAAGAAAAATAGCTTCTAAGGGGAATAATATAACTAGCAAAACTGTCCTAAAAATGAAGAAAAAGTAAAGACCTTTCAAGATAACCAAATGCTGAAAAAGTATATTAGCACTACATCTGCCTTGCAAAATAAATAAATAAATAAAATTTTAAAAAAGCTAAAGCAAGTATCTTTCACTGAAAATAACATAATGCAAGAAAACAAAACATAATCATATGAAAACATAATTTTCTGGGAAAGATATGCACATACAAAAATATAAAGTTCTATGCCATTATCATGATAGCACAGAAAACATTTTAATTATTCTCCAAAATGTGAAAGATAAAAGCAAAAAAAAAAAAGTAATCATAAACTGTTAATATGCAAAATGAAAAATATGGTTAGTGACATCAATAATAAAGTTGAGGGCAGATGTAATGAGGAAGAATTTCGATGTGCAAGTAAAGTTAAATTTTTACCAGTTTAAAATATATTATTTTAAATTTAAGAAATTTTATGTAATTCCCAAGATACCAAATAAAAAAGGATCTGTAGAGATACTGAAAAAGTAGGAAGGGCCTGTCAATACAAAAATCAAAAAGACACAAAGGAAGACAGAAAATAAGGGATGAAGATAAAATTATCAAGTAAAACAATAAAAGAACATTAGTAAGCCTTTCTATTTCAGCAAATTATTTAAATATTTATGAAGTAAACTTTCCATTCAAAATACATGCATCGAATAAAAAAATTTTAACAATTGGCCGGGCGCGGTGGCTCAAGCCTGTAATCCCAGCACTTTGGGAGGCCCAGACGGGCGGATCACGAGGTCAGGAGATCGAGACCATCCTGGCCGACACGGTGAAACCCGACCAGTTTCGAGTGCTTGGTGCCATGCTGGGAGTGCAGTGTCAATCTCGGCTCACCGCAAACCTCTGCCTCCCGGGTTCAAGTGGTTGTTCTGCCTCAGCCTCCGAGTGGCCTTGGGATTACAGGCATGTGCCACTATGCCCAAGCTAATTTTGTATCTTTTAGGAGAGATGGGATTTCTCCATGTTGGTCAGGTTTGTCTTGAACCTCGCCGACCTCAGGTGATCCACCCACACTTCAGTCTCGCCAAAGTGCTGGTAATTACAGGTGTGAAGCCACCGCACTGAGCCTTGTTTGTTTTTCTTATTGAAGATCGTTTGGCGCCTATATTGTCTCTTGAAATTTTATCATAATTTTAAGGGTTGCTGTTTCTATTTCCTGAAAAAACTCAATTTTGAAATTTGAAACAGAGTTGCATTTAATCTGAATATTACATTCAGCCAGTCCAGACAGCTGCATAATAAATTAAATATTTTTAAACGTTGAACAAGAAGCAAGCTAAAGAGTATGTTTTTACTTTCTATAATTATGTAAGATTTTCCGTGTTTTTTTTTTTGGTCAGATTTTCCGTGTTTTTTTTTTTTTTTTTAAAATTCTACTTGTCCTTTCCAGTTGGTCATAAGAAAGTAATCCGTAAAATTTTTAATTTAAAAAAAATTTGTTAAGGGTCTTTTTGTGTCCTAAACCCATGGTTTTTATCAAGAAAGACTTTTGTATGAGCTATTGGATGAGGAGGTTGTGTATTCTGACCTGTTCGTTGAGCATGTTTTCTACAAATTCTGTAAGGCATGAATTTTTTAAATACAATTTACCTGCCCTTTTTTTCAAGTCTTCTTGTTCCCTTATGAATATTCGTTTTTGTTTTATCATTACCAAAAATTGGGATATCAAAATATCCTGTATAATTGTATTGCTTTGTATATCTTGCCTTTAACTTTTGTCAGTATTTGCTTTATAATTTGAAACCTAATGTGAGTTACACACACACATTTATATATATATAATAACATGCATTTTCAATTAGGTTTCCAGTAAAATGAACATTTTTATTGCTGTTTAATGTCCCTTTGTCCTCTTATAAGCTTTTAGCTTAAGGCAATATTTTTATTTTTTATATGAATTAGGACAGTTTTTCACTTAAGATGCACTTGTGTAATATAATTGTTGTTTGTGTGTGTATAATTTATTTTTTACCTTTCTTTGTCATTTATGATTTCTTTTTCCATCTTGTCTCCTTTATCATTAGATTGTTTAGATTGATAGCTAGGAATCGGTGTTTGTGTATTTGATTTTTTTTTTAGAGGTTGGTTTTATGAGTGTGTTTTTTTATGTTTTTGTTGTTGGTGGTTTATTGTGTTGTTTGAGATGGACATCGGTGCCTTGAAGGGTGTGTTTTTGCTTTTTTGCACCCAGTCTTTGGTGAGCGGGTACTGGTGGTTGGTCACAGCTCACTGCAAGCTCCGCCTCTTGCCGTCTGAGTTTACGAGTTGGTTTATAGAGGGCCATTCCTCATACCATTCTCGCTCATTCCTCACCTGCAGCTCGAGTAGCTTGGGACCTAACAGGCACCCGCCGAGGCACCCCGCCATCTCGAACCAG